TATTTTTGCAGTTTTCAGTGTATACCTGAAAATATCCTTGGTTAAATTTATTCCTGTATTTTATTATTTTTTATGTTATTGTAAGTGGGATTATTTTACTAATTTCATTTTCAGATTGTTTATTGCTAGTATATAGAACATAGAACTACAACTGATTTTTGTGTATTCACCTTAGTCCTGTTTTTTTGCTGAATTAATTTAAAAATTATTTAAAATGTTTATTTCTTTTTGAGAGAGAAAGAGAGACAGAGCATGAACAGGGAAGGGGCACAGAGAGAGGGAGACACAGAATCCAAGGCAGGCTCCCAGCTTCATGTTGTCAACACGGAGCCCGATGTAGGACTCAAACTCACCAACCATGAGATCTTCATCTGAGTGGAAGTTGGATGCTTAACCGACTGAGCCACCCAGACGCCCCCTGATGAATTAATTTATTAGCTCCAGTGCTTTTGTGGATTCCTTAGGTTTTTTGTTTGTTTTGTTTTTTTTTTTTTTTTAGGATTTTCTTATGTGTAAGATCATGTCCTCTGTAAATAGAAATAATTTTATCTCTTCTTTTACAATTTGGATACCTTGTATTTCTCTTTATTGCCTAATTGCTATGGCTAGAACTTCCAGTATAATGTTGAATAGAATATTTGTGGCAAAAATTTATATACTTGTCTTGTTCCTGATCTTAGGAAGAAAGCTTTCAGTCTTTCATCATCGAGTATAATGTTAGCTGTGGGTTTTCCCATACATTTTATTATGCTATATATATAACATTATATATGTATTATTATTATATAATATTATGTTCAGAAAGTTCCCTTTTATTCCTGCTTTGATGAGGTTTTTTTTTTTGTTTGTTTAATCATGAAAGTATGCTGGATTTTTGTCAAAAATTTTTGTTTTTTCACCAATTAAAATGATCACGTGTTTTTTTCTTCATTCTTTTAAATTAAAAAAATTTTTTTAATGTTTATTTACTTTTGAGAGAGAGAGATGGGGAGGGGGGAGAGGGGCAGAGAGAGAGGGAGACACAGAATCTGAAGCAGGCTCCAGGCTCTGAGCTATTAGCACAGAGCCTGACAAGGGGCTCAAACCCACAAACTGCAAGATCATGACCTGAGCCAAAGTCAAATGCTTAACCGAGTAAGTCACCCAGGTTCCCTACCTTCGTTCTTTTAATATGATGTATAATATTGATTGGATTTTGTATTTGAACTACCCTTGCATTCTTGGAATAAATCCCACTTGGTCATGATGTATAATCCTTTTAATAGGATGATGGATTGGGTTTGCTAGTATTTTGTTAAGGATTTTTGCTTCCATATTCATAAGTGATATTGGTCTAGTCTCTTCTTGCAACAATCTTCTTTTTTTTTTTTAAGTTGAAGGAGCGCATCTCTTTGTTACTTAGTGGCCATTCCAAGAAAGCCAAAGATAGTTTTGTCTTTAATTTTTTTTTTTTT